TTGATTTATTCATGAGAGATAGAGAGAGAGAGAGAGAGAGAGAGAGAGAGAGAGAAAGAGAGAGGCAGAGACAAGCAGAGAGAGAAGCAGGCTCTTCGCAGGAGCCCCCCTGTGGGACTCCATCCCTAATCCCAGGATCACGACCTAAGCCTAAGGCAGACTCTCAACCACTGAGCCACCCAGGTGTCCCTGTAATCCATTTTGAGTTAATTTTTGTGAAAGCTGTAAGGTCTGTGTCTGTTTTTTTTTTTTTTTTTGCCTGCAGATGTCCAGCCGTTCTAGTACCATTTATTGAAAAGACGATCTTTTCCCCTTTTCTGCTTCAAAGATTACTATAATTGAGTAGGTCTATTTCTGGGCTCTCTAATCTATTCCATTGATGTATTTGCCTGTTCTTTCAAAAGTACTATCTTTGTTACTGTAGTTTTAAGTCTTGAAGTTAGGTATTGTCAATATTACACTTTTGTTCTTCTCTTTCAATATTGTGTTGGCTATTCTGGATATTTTGCCTTTCCATACAAAATTTATAATTTTGGTCTTTTGGTAAAACTGTTCTGCTGGACTGTGAACTTCACCAGTTTTCAGTCTCCCTCCTGCAATATAAAACAGGATGACTACAGTGGGCTAGAGTTGGACATTTCTCTTCCACAGGTCAGTTAGATGCTAATGAAACCCCAGTAGGTTATTGGGGGGCATGCCTTGTTATGACTGCTCTATGTGTATTCCAAAATAGTGACTTTCCCCTCCTCTTGCCTAAAGCACAACAGGATTTTTCTCCAGTCTTTGCTATGAGAACTTGTTTGGCCTCCTGGTGGTAAAACTCATAAACCTGTAGGGGCTTCCTTATGACTGGGTCCCCTTGGAATCTTTAATTCTCAGGTGTGTCCACACCACGCCTCTTCATTTGTCAATTACAGTTTAGGTTTTTCTACCCCTGTACTTGTTCACACAGAACTTTGTGCTAATGTGTTTCTGCTCTGGTGATTTTTTTGTAGTGACATATTTTGATTCCCTTCTCATTTCCTTTTGCATATTCTATAGGTATTTTTTTGTAGTTACCATGGAGATTACATATAATATCCTAAAGTTATAACCATCTATTTTAAACTGATACCAACTTCAATTGCAGATGAAATCTCTACTCCTTTACAGGTTGGTGTCTTTGTTACTGATATCACAAATTACATCTTTATATATCATGTGGCCATTAACACAGGTTTATATTTCATGCATTTTCCCTCTAAATCTTATTTAAAATTTTGAGTTGCAAACCAAAATTACAGTTTATCCATATATTTATCAGCTTAGTTTTTTTTTTTAAATTTGGTATCTTAGTATTTTTAAGCAATTCCAGGAACTGTCTAGCGTCTTGTAGTGCCTGATATTAGGGAGATGGGAAATACTCCATCCCCAAATTCCTTGCTTACTTGTAATAGCTTCCTTAATTTCACCCTTTGATTCATTTTTGCCAAAAAACAAAAGAGAAACCCCATACATTTTCCAAGCATACACACTTCCCAAAGATGTTAATAGCAATTAGGAGCAAACAAGATTTCATGTTCAAATTGGTTTGGACCGGGGCAGCCCCTGTGGCCCAGCGGTTTAGCACCGCCTTTGGCCCAGGGCCTGATCCTGCAGACCCGGGATCGAGTCCCACATCACGCTCCCTGCCTGGAGCCTGCTTCTCCCTCTCTCTGTGTGTCTCTGCCTCTCTTTCTCTGTGTCTATCATGAATAAATAAATCTTAAAAAAAATTTAATTTGGACCATGCTCATATGAACCAGTCAAATGAGAGTTTTATTTCCTAACTGCATTGGTTTGATATGCTGCTACACACCATGAGATGTGGGATTAGGTTATAATAGATAAGATGCAGACATGGTACTTGGAGGAGGTAACTCATAAAGTCACTCATTATATCCACATTAACTTTAGTGGAGCATATAACATGTTATTTATTTATATATTTTTTAAAAGATTTATTTAGTCATGAAAGACACACACACACACACACAAGAGGCACAGACAGAGGGAGAAGCAGGCTCCATGAAAGGAAGCCTGACGTGGGACTTGATCCCGGGTCTCCAGGATCACACCCTGGGCCCAAGTCGGCACCAAACCGCTGAGCTACCGGGGCTGCCCAAGCATGCTTTTAATAAAAATATTGTACAAATGATCCTGGGACTTGCTCAAATTCTCAATTGTTATGATGTTTAGATATACAAACTCCAGAATTGCTACGGAATTCTCTTTAGTTGCATTTCAAGATTTCCTTGCTATCCAAAACCTACTTGTTTTCTGGGTTTGGATAGCATAGAATAAATACTATGTTAACCAAATCAATAGGACTTGTTCCTTAGAAAGGGACTGTCTGGAGCAAGAATTGACATTTTTCTGTAATGGGCTGTATGGTAAATATTATAGGCTTTGGAAACCCCTTGGTCTAACACAGGTACTCAATTATGTTATAGGGTGAAAGCAGCCAATGTGAATATATGTGGGGTTTTAAAAAAGATTTTATTTATTTATTTTTATTTTTTTATTTTTAATTTTTTTAAATTTATTTATTTATGATAGTCACAGAGAGAGAGAGAGAGGCAGAGACATAGGCAGAGGGATAAGCAGGCTCCATGCACCGGGAGCCCGATATGGGATTCGATCCCGGGTCCCCAGGATCGCGCCCTGAGCCAAAGGCAGGCGCCAAACCGCTGCGCCACCCAGGGATCCCAAGATTTTATTTATTTATTCATGAGACACACGGAGAGAAGCAGAGACGCAGAGAGAGAAGCAGGCTCCCTGCAGGGAACCCAATGCGGGACTCAATCCCATGACCCTGGGATCATGACCTGAGCTGAAGGCAGACGCTCAACCACCAAGCTACCCACGCATCCTATATGCTGTTCTGTTATAATGAGTTTATGAACACTGAAGTTTGAAATTCATTTCATGTTACTTTTTTCCAACCACTTTATTTAAAAAAAAAAATTTAAAAGATTGTATTTATTCATGAGAGAGACAGGGAGAGAAGCAGAGACACAGACAGAGGGAGAAGCAGGCTCCATGCAAGGAGCCCGACATTGGACTCGATCCCAGGTCTCCAGGATCAAGCCCTCGGCTGAAGGCAGCGCTAAACCGCTGAGCCACCCAGGCTGCCCTCCAACCACCTTAAAATGTAAAAACCATTCTTAGCTTGCAGGCCATATAAAAAATAGGTAGTGGTCTAAATTAGTTTGCTGTCCCGATTTAGTGTGATTATTAAGGTTTTATCTGAAGTATTTGACTTCTGAGGCACCTGGGTGGCTCAGTTAAGTGTCTGCCTTTGGCTCAAGTCATGATATATGGGTCCTGGTATCAAGCCTGGCCTCAGGCTCCTTGGTTAGCCAAGAGTCAGCTTCACCTTCTCCCTCTACCCTTCCCTGCACTCGTACTCTCTGTGTCAAAGAAATGGTCACCTTGTTATCTCATTTGATTTGGAAGCTCTTGAATTTTTTATAGATTTTGCTCATACAATAATTTGGCTTGGTGATCTCTTTGACTATATTAAGACTTTTTCCCATGGGACACCTAGGTGGCTCAGCGATTGAACTTATACCTTTGGCTCAGGGCATGATTCCGGTCCCGGGATCGAGTCCCACATCAGGCTCCCTGAGAGGAGCCTGCTTCTCTCTCTGCCTCTCTGTGTGTCTCTCACAAATAAAGTATTTTTAAAAAAGATGAAACCTTTTCCCCCTGCATTTATCATTTTAGTCTACTAAGGGTTTACATCCCTTAATTCTAATTACATTTTTAAAAAAAGATTTTATTTACTCATGTGAGAGACAGAGAGAGAGGCAGAACTCGATCCCAACACCCTGGGATCACGACCTGAGCAGAAAGCAGACACTCAACCACTGAGCCACCCAGGTGCTCCCAAATTACATTTTCCACAAATATTGTATACTTTGTCTAGATTTCCACATATTAGTAATCTCTTAATCATGCCTATTTCTCATGTCTTCATCCATCTCTTTTTCCCCATCAAAATGACCAACATTTGTATTGATATATTTTTTATCAAAGAAATAATTTTTTCTTGAGCTATTTTTATTTTTACTAATACTTTTTCTATATTTGAAGTGGTTTGCTGTTATTCTCCTTGCTTTTTGTCTTGTACCTTTAGTTCATTTTTTTTAAAGATTTGTTTATTTATTCAGAGAGAGAGAGGCAGAGACACAGGCAGAGGGAGAAGCAGGCTCCATGCAGGAAGCCCGGCGTGGGACGCGATCCCGGGTCTCCAGGATCACACCCCAGGCTGCAGGCGGCACTAAACCGCTGCGCCACTGGGGATGCCCCATTTAGTTCATTTATTAATATTTCTTGGAGTTTGACTATCAGCATACCTAAAACCAGAAATAGACTCTTAACTATAAAAAACTAAGAGTTACTGGAGGTTTTTTTTTTTGGGGGGGGGCGTGGATTAAATGGGTGATGGGTATTAAGGAAAACACTTGTTGTAATGAGCAGTGAGTATTGTATATAAGTGATGAATCACTAAATTCTACACCTGAAACTAATATTACACTGTATGTTAACTGTAATTTAAATAAAAACTTGAAAAAAATCAGCTATACTTTATCTGAATACATATTTAGCTGCTCTCAGGTTTTCTACATAATGTGCTCATTTTCATTCATTTAAATATAATTCAGGGACTGATTTCCTTCTGATTCATGCTATCTGGAAGGATATTGTTGCACAGTATGAAATATAGGTGTAAACGTAGAATTATTCTTTTTCTTTCTTGACTTTTATATCTTAGGATTTCTTTTTCCTTTTTAAACTTCATGCTGAACAAGTAATAAATGCTGGTGAGCAGCTTTTCTACAAACATTATACCCACTGGTCTTTCTCATTCTGAATTATCTGGAGTCAATTAAGATATATAACATGGTTAAAGTCCTTTGTACAAACAATAATGGTGAAGATCTTGATACTCATATTAAATAACATCTGCTAGATACTCTTAGTAAAAATCCCAAACATTTTATTTTTCTTTTGAGAGAGTGAGCTTAAACGAGGGAGATGGCACAGAGGAAGAGAGAAATCCAAGCAGGCTTCTCGCCCACCATGGAGCCTGACCCCAAGCTTGATCTCATGACCCTGAGATCAAGACCTGAGCTGAAATAAAGAGTCAGAGGCTTATTAACCAATTGAGCCATTCCAGTACCCCTCACTTTACATTTAACTCATTTAATCCTCACAGCAATCCAACACATTAGTGTATGTACATTCATTCACAAAATTATAAAACAGTACTAACTTTTCTACAAGTGTTGCAAATATTTATGTATTTGGTTGTGTGTGTACAAATCTGTAAGCAAAAGTAATTTTTAAAAAAGGTCTAGAAGGATAAAGAACAAATTGCTAAGAGTGAATACAACAAGGGAACTACTGGCAGTATTTTTCAAGGAGAAAATATCAGGGTTTTTTTTTCACCAGTTATTTGACATTGAAATGTAATGTTTTTAAAGAAAAACAAACAAAAGCACTACATTTGTGTTTAGAAGGCAACTTTTATAACTGCAAATTTTCAGTGAGTATCATAAAGTTTTTCAGTAATATACAGCAAAATGATAATCTACCATAGAAAAATTATACCATTAAGAAGAATGACAGACATCTGAAATAGCTGCAGGATAGAAGCAGGTTATGGTACAGCATGCACATCATGATTACACTAAATAAACTCTGGAAGGACATGTTGTAATAATTTGAAAGTAGTAATTTTTTTTTTGGTAGGCTTACAAATAACCTTTTTTCTTTGTGTGTGTGTGTGGTTTGTTTTTTGTTTTGACAAAATGAAAACAATAGTTTTACAAAAGGAAAAAAAAAAGAGTAGCGCTGCCTTTAAAAACAAAGTTATAATTCTGCCAGGAATTGAAAGATAGCCTATGTAATGTAACTCACTATACGATATTGGTACTATAAAAACAGATATATGGGTTAGAACAATAGAAAAGACAGCCCTAAAATAAAGCTAATATAAACTCAAATATATAACCAAAAAGTAATGTAATACAATAAGGAGGAAAGAATTATTTAAGAAATAGTCTGGGACAGAATCTTTTTTGGAGGTAAGGGACATTTAACAAGTTATGTATAAAAGTAATTTACAAATATGTTAGAAAAAAAACGTTAACAGTGTTATGGGTTAATATGTAAAAGCCTTAACCTCTGGCATCTGTGAATGTGATCCTACGTGGAAATAAGGTCTTTGCAGATGTAATCTAGTTAAGATAAGGTCATCAGTGTGAGCCCTAATCCAATATAATTGATGTCCTGAATAAGAGTCTCCTCTTATACAAGACAGGGACAGATATACACAGAATACAATGTAAAAATGCAGGCAGAGATTGGAGTGATGGATTTGAAGCAAGGAATGTCAAAGACTGATGTTATCAGAAGCCAGGAGAAAGACATGGATCAGATTCATCTTCAGAGTCCTCAGAAGGAACCAACCTTACCAACAACTTTAATTTGGGATTTCAAAGCTCCAAAACTATGAGATAATAGATTTCTATTGTTTTAAGTCACCCAATTTTGTGGTACTTGGTACTTTGTTATAGTAGCCTAAAAAACTATATTATTTTTTCATTACCTGTTTTAAAGATATTATTAAAAGACTATCAACAGGGTTTATCTTTCACCCAGTATGAATTCCTTCATGGCGAATAAGGTCAGAGCGACTACCAAAGGCCTTTCCACATTCTTTACAGTCATAGGGTTTCTCACCAGTGTGAATTCTTTGATGTCTAGTAAGGTTTGAGCCTTTATTAAAAGCCCTCCCACATTCATTACATTCATAAGGTTTTTCATCTGTATGGATTCTCTGATGTTGAATAAGTTCTGAGCTCTGAATAAAGGCCTTTCCACATTCCTTACATTCATAAAGTTTCTTGCCTGCATGAATTCTGTGATGGTTAGTAAGTGTTGAGGCACTACTAAAGGCCTTCCCACATTCTTTACATTCATAAGGTTTCTCACCAGTATGCATTCTCTGATGCTGAATAAGCCTTGAGTGTTGAGTAAAGGCTTTCCCACATTCCTTACATTCATAAGGTTTCTCACCAGTATGAATTCTCAGATGTGGAAAAAGTTGTGAACTCTTAGTAAAGGCTTTTCCACATACTTTACATTCATAAGGTTTCTCACCAGTGTGAATTCTCTGATGATCATTGAGGTTTGAGCAATAATTAAAGGCTTTTCCACATTCCTTACATTCATAGGGCTTCTCACCAGTGTGAATCCTCTGATGTTGAGAAAAATATGAACTACAACTAAAAGCCTTGCCGCATTCCTTACATTCATAGGGTTTTTCACCAGTGTGAATCCTCTGATGTCGAATAACAAGTGAGCCACGACTAAAGGACTTCCCACACTCCTTGCATTCATAGTTTTTTCCAGCAGAATGAGTTCTCTGATGTTGAATAAATTGTGAGTTCTGATTAAAGGCCTTTCCACATATCTTACATTCACAGGGTTTCTCTTCATTAAGAGTTTTTTGATGTGAAGTAAGAAATGTGGGCTGAATAAAAGTGGGCATGTCTTCGTGAGCAAATATTACTTGACTAAAATGTCTCTTCTTTAGAGATAATATCTTGGTCTCACACATAGATTCCAGATCTGGAAAAAAAAAAAAAAGTGTTCATTTTTCCTATCTTGGGAGAGATTAAAATTCTAAAACAGAAAAAAGGATTAAGGTGAAAATAACATCTGGGAAAGTAAATGCATAAACAGTTCTCAAATATGGCTAAGCAATTTTCAAAACTGATAACAAAAGCATGGATACTGAGGAGAGCCAAGAGAGGAAATTCAAGAGTGATTAGGGAAATAAAGACCTCCATCCTGAAATTCCAATGTGAAATCAGAATTACCTGAAACTTTCATAAATACACCCTGTTTGGGGATACCCTCCATATTTTACAGTGATTCTAATCATATACACATGCTTATAAGCACACACCTCACACACAGCCTCACACTGTATTTTTTAGAATTTGTGGATAATTCTGACCTACATAAAAAAAGACTATTGAGGAATAAATGTATTAAAATGTATAAATGGAAGATCACAGTCACAGCCTCACACTGTATTTTTTATAATTTGTGGATAATTCTCTGACCTACATTTAAAAAGACTATTGAGGAATAAATGTATTAAAATGTATAAATGGAAGATCACAGTCAGAAACTCCAAAGTGTGTGTTGTTGGTAAATCCACATTGGGAGATACCCTAATCTAAAGTCCTGAATGAAACTGGCAAGAATGGTAGGCAGCGGGATCCCTGGGTGGCGCAGCGGTTTAGCGCCTGCTTTGGCCCAGGGCGCGATCCTGGAGACCCGGGATCGAATCCCACGTCGGGCTCCCGGTGTATGGAGCCTGCTTCTCCCTCTGCCTGTGTCTCTGCCTCTCTCTCTCTCACTGTGTGCCTATCATAAATTAAAAAAAAAAAAAAAAAAGAATGGTAGGCTGGTACTTCTATGGATAAAGCCTGATATATTGGGGCTTCACTGAAAATAGTTTGCCTTGGAATTCTCTGATGTTGATTTTGGAAGAGAAAGGAATGGCATCTTGCTCATACCAGTGAAAAAGGAAAGAGATAGCTTGAATATGAGGAAGAAGAGAGTAAGAATGAAATATACTGTGAGAAGAAGAGAGGTACTCCATGTACTTTTTTTTTTTTTTTTTTTTTTGCCATTCTGCGTATCTGCCATGAAAGCACTGCAAATACTGATTCTGAGTTTATAAATTTTAGCAAGTAGGTAAATTCATACATATGGATTTGTGGAATCTCTGAGTAATGAGTGTCTATTGTACTTTTAATAAAAAGGGGGACAACTTCTGTTAGAAATCACAGACTGAACATGAGTTTTCCATTGCTTATTCATGAATCCACAGGAAAATTATAATAGAAGCTTAACAAGAGGAAAGAAAAACCTCCCTAGGACAATGAATACTGGAGAAGAGACAGTAGCAATAAAATCTGGAAGCTAGAAAGTCAATGAATGAGTGAGTGATGAGTGAGTCTGCAGCCCAGAGAAAAGCGAACTGAGCCTGCAGTAGATGAATTCCACAGCACTGATAGTGCAGATCCCCATAAATGCACAAGAATTAGAGGCATCAGGCATTTTTAATGTGGGGTATACAGAGAATGCTGAAAGCTGAAGAATGAATTCAAAGATTGTATTAGTATTGAAACCGCTAGGATCCTTTCCCCTATATGGGTTTACATTTTCCTATTCTTACAGAAAACTAGAAATATAGAAAAATGGAACCAGAGAGAATCTGAACTCAGGAGCATCAAGCATAGCTGTGGGTATGGGTACTGAACAAAAGATTAACAGAAAATAGATATACTTGTGATAAAGAATGATTCTGGTCTTTTTTTTTAAATTATTTTTTTATTTTTATTTTTAATAAATTAATTTTTATTGGTGTTCAATTTACCAACATACAGAATAACACCCAGTGCTCATCCCGTCAAGTGTCCCCCTCAGTGCCCGTCACCCATTCACCCCCACCCCCCGCCCTCCTGATTCTGGTCTTTATTCCTGGCACAGAGCTTCACAAACCATCGGGATTTCCTGACTGGAAAGTCTTTTGTTATTCACAAGCTCCTTTTGATCAGACCTGAGTTATCCTAATGCGGTGATTCACAGTGGGCACTTAGCTTCAAGAGGGAGAATCTAGGCACTCATGACTACACAATCAAACCCCAATAAAAAACTCAGGGCAAGGATTGGGGGGAAGCTTCCTGGTTGGTAACTATAGGATGTACCTGGAGGATGACATACCTTGACTTTTTGGGTGTAGAATTTCCTATGTTTGGTACCTCCTAGACCTTGCCCAGTGCTTTTCAGGAGTTTTTTGAGTTGTTCTAAGGAATTATCAAACCTGAGAGGGTGTGTGAAACTCTTAAATTTAGTCAGACAGAAGTACAGATAGCCTGGGGATTCTGGTTGCAAATGGTGCCTGAACTGGTGGGCACCTTGCCCTTTAACTTGCAGATATGATGTTAACTCCTGGTAATGTCAGAATTCAGTTAAAGCATAAGACACCCATTTATTGTTAGAGAATTTGTGCAAGGCACAATACTGAAATAACCCTGTTGATTTTATCCTAATTTAATGCCCAGAACACTGATAATAGGCTCTTAACTTCCTCAACTAGGAAAATAAAGGTCTCTTCTCACAGGAAAAAAAATATGCATAAGAGAAAAGACCAATTACTAAAAGTAGGCTGTTCTTAGTATATTAACCCAACCAGATCATCCTAAAGTAAACAAGACCCAATTCCTAAACACAGAAGTTCCAGTCACCTTTTTAGTATCTCATACTTAAAAATGAGCAGTAAGCCATTGTTTATCAGACATATGAGAAATGTTTTTTAATGTGAAGAAGAGCCCACAACAATATAAATAATAGTGAAAGGGAATATAAGGGAAGGGAGAAGAAATGTGTGGGAAATATCAGAAAGGGAGACAGAACATAAAGACTCCTAACTCTGGGAAACGAACTAGGGGTGGTGGAAGGGGAGGAGGGAGGGGGGTGGGGGTGAGTGGGTGACGGGCACTGAGGGGGACACTTGACGGGATGAGCACTGGGTGTTATTCTGTATGTTGGTAAATTGAACACCAATAAAAAAAAAAAAAAAAAAAAAAAGAGCCCAAAAGACAAAAAAGTATCTGTGAGGAAACAATGCAAGCAACAGAAGAAAATGTCAAAACATATAATAACCTCAGAGAAATAACAGAATTAAACAGGCATAAGATTCTAAATAAAGGAAGACTAAGAAAACACAAAGTTTTTAGAAACTGAAAATATAATAATGAAAAAATATTTTTTAAAACCCCAAAAGTTCCTAAACTCGGAATGTGCACAAAATTCTGGCTTCCTTTCTCAATTGACCCTGGAGAAATTATAGAGAATTTGGTTTTGTGTGGAACTGATGCATATTGCAAAATGTCCTAGGGAGATTGAAGACTGGTGCAAACCTGTGTGTATTTGAGGGTGGAGTCTACTTGCCTGAAGAGGTGGTAACAGGAGGCAAGGAGAGGCTAGCCCGGTAGAAAAGTATCAAAACTCTGATTTGTCCTTTCCCTGAAATGCCCTAGGATCAGTGGCCTGTGCCTTTACCACAGAAATTGGTGGCCACTGGTCAAGCAGCTGAGTAAGTAGAATAATCTAGTGGTAAAGAAAAAGTCCTGCTGGACAGAAGAATGGCTGACTATCTGCTCTCAGGAATCTGTTCCTCTACCTTCTCAACTATTAAAATCCCTAGAGTTGGTGAATTACAAAAAGGGAAGGCATACTCTTCCTGTAGATGATGCTGCTTTGTAAATGTTGAAAGATCAAAACATGAGAAGAATTACGTGGTAGAGAAGTAGCAAATAAAAGTTATTAGCAGTGTATCATTAGGTCTTAGGGCTCGTCATTCTAAGTTCATCCCCCATTACTTAAATCTACCTGGAAGGACACAGACCTGGGTCTATCCCCTGGCATACTGCTAGATAAGGTGATTGATACCCTCTTGGGAACATGAACTCACAGGCCAAAATGGCTACATATCAGAGGGTACAACTGTTATTGAAATAAGAACACAAACTACCATGATCATCTTGACAGATACAGAAAACCTGTAGGATGTGGCCAATACCTATTTATGATCAATCTGAGCAAATTAGCACTGCAAAGTAATAGCTGTAACTTGGTAAAAGTTATCAGAACTATGGCAAAAACTGCAGCTAAGTGAATAACTTTAGATATGGTCCCTAGAAGATGAGGAAAAAGAAATGGATGCCTATTACCAATGTTACTAAATAAGACAACCCTGGCAACCATTATAAGCAAAGAAAAAACAAGCGTGAGGATTATAAGAGATAAATCTAATAATATGCAGATAATATGATGATCTAACTAGAAAAACCAAAAGAATAAAAAATTAACTTCAGTAAAGTTTAGACGTTAAAGATCAACTTATAAAAATTAATAGTATTTTGAGTAACATCAGAAAGATGGTGGAATAATAAGTGCTAGATTCTCCTGACCCCCATAAATACACCAACTTAACAGCAATACATGATCAATTCCCTTTGAAAGAAATCTAGAAACCAATTAAGAGAATCCTGCATGCTATGCAAGTGTGAAGCCAGCCATATCAAAACTAGTAGGAAACCTGAAGACACCCTCTCACCATGATCCCTATTCCTGGCATAGGGACATATAACTGGGAGGAAACTTCCAGCTTCTTGAATACAGAAAAGTTGGAACGCCCATCCAATATCTCAACTTTTCTGACTGTCGTGGAGCCTTGATTAGACCTGCATACCCTAGGCTCCTGGGGACTACAGAGAACAAAAGCACTGGTTTAAACTAGCATGCAGGCACTCACCACAGCTCCTTTCCCTGCTCAATGCAGAGTGAGTGGGAGGAAAACTTCAGCTCCCAGCTTCTCCCTGGAGAAGGAAAGAGGCGGACTGTGTGTCAAACATTCCAACTTTTCTGGGGTTTGCCTAAAGGACTGGCTTCTGTCTCATCAGTCTCAGAGTGCTGATGGGACCCAGTAGATTCAAGATATCCAAAGGCCACCAAGAACAAAGAAGGTAGTTTGAACTAGCAAACAA